TGCAGTGGGGCATGGGGACAAGGAGGTTGAGCCAAGGGTTTGCAGGACAGCAGACTCTCTTTCTGCAATATCATTTCCTCACTTTTAAGAATCTTGGAGTTGAGAGCTCAGTTGGGTAGAGCATGGTGCTGATAACAACAAAGTCACAGGTTTGATCCCAATATGGGACAGCTGCATATTCTTCCTGCATTTCAGGAAGTTGGACTAGAGTTTCCTCAGGGTCCCTTCCAACTCTACAGTTCTATGATTCTATGATTCCCCATCTTGTCATGACTTCACAGAGTCCAGCTGCAGTCAAGGCTTGGAGTCAGAGGCTGCAGAATCTCTAGTTTTAAGGAGCTAGACCAGGATGCTGAGCCTGCTGCTGGAGATGAGGAGACAACCCAGTGCTCCAGAAGAACCCTTGTACCTGTAGGGGCAGAGTCTTGTTTGAGCTGTTCAGCAGAATCCCTGATATGGACCTTGTGTAGAAACAAATTCTCTCCACCACATGAATGCGTTTCAAATCTTTGCTGAAGAACAGTCTTAAATGCTAGTTACAACAACATAAACTTTACAGAACAACAAAGTAACACATTGCCAACAAGCAGTGTGGTTCAGTCATTTATGCAGTACATTAACCTTCCTCTTTCTGGACCCTAAGTTTGTGCATCATTGCAGAGCTTCTATGCAAAACTGCTGCTACCATTAGCCATCTCCAACAAACATACACTGGCTTCCCAACTTTCAGCTCATCATCAGGTAGTTTAGCTCATTGAAACAGAAAAATACTATCCTTCTCTGACACTTTTGCCAAAGTGGAACGTCTTGCCTAAGGTAAACATCACTTTACAGCATTTGAAATGCACTGCATTCAAATGCAGCATTTTATATACATTGAATGTACAGTGGTAGCTTGAGTTACAAACGCTTCAGGTTACAAACGCTTCAGGTTACAAACTCTGCTAACCTGGAAGGGTTACCTTGAGTTGAGAACTTTGCCTCAGGATGAGAACGGAAATAGTGTGCCGGCAGCATAGCGGCAGCAAGAGGTCCCATTAGCGAAAGCACACCTCTAGTTAAGAACAGTTTCAGGTTAAGAACGGACCTCTGGAACCAATTAAGTTCATAACTAGAGGTACCACTGTATAACTTTAAGAAGCCTGGACCATCACAGGCACTGTTCCCTGAGGAGCCAAATTCCCTTCCACCGGATCTCACCAGCACAGGAAACATACCAGACAAGAGGCTATGGAATGGAGGAGGGATACCTGTCTTCAGGCCAGAGGATTGGTCCTTAGAGAATTAGCCACAAGAGGGCAGAGCCTGAGAGAGGTGGGCTGGAGGCAGGTGCTTAAAAAGGCTCAGTCCACTCACAACTTTCAGTGGAACAGTTGCTCTCTTGAAGCTCTCTCCGGTCCTACAACTCCTAACCTGCCTTGCTGCTTCCTTTGTGGGGTCCAGCATCAGACAATAATGCCACCCTGTCCCTTGAGTGTGGCAAGAATGGACTGCAAATGGTGGTGGGAAAACAATTGTTGAAGTTTTATTCCTACCCCCCTTTGTCAGATCCACAGGGGCAGCAAATCTGGTCTCCAAGGAATTCACTGCCTGCTGGTGCCATGGTAGCAATGACAATTGTGGTACACTTATTGGAGGCTGGATCTCCTGCATTCTCTGCAGCCTCACCCAATGCCACCTCTATAGCGTCATCTTGGCAAATAGGAGGCACTGCTGGTCTTCTCCCCACTTGTTCTTGATGTAGTTCTTTATTCCCCATTTGTTTCTAGTGTAGATCTTCACTCACCCCTTCTTTCCTGGCTGTGTGTGTGCATGTGCACCATTTTGTGGTTTACCTCAGGTGCCAAATTGTCTTGGGCCAGCTCTGAGTGGGATAGAACTCAATTCAGTGAGTGCTGCTGCTGAAGCCACAGACCAGCACAGGGCTTGGGCTCACCAGGTGGCAGAGCCAGTTCTCTCTGTTTGCTATTTCTGGAAGAGAGCCAAAGCATACTGAGCTTCCATAGTACTCACCGGAGATTCAGGGCTTCCCCCTCTGTTACTCTAAAGTGCCTGGGATTAACTCTTAATCTGTGCTGTAGAACCAGGTTTCAAAAAGGCACAATAATAGTTTAAGGGACAAAGTTGTTCTCTCCTGCTCTACCAGGTGGAACAAAATGCAGCGACAAGAGGAAAGAATTAAGAGCTAATTTTATTTTAATGAATGGCACACACACACACATCCCATTTTGGTTTGGCAAATTCAAACCAACCAGATGTGGTGGTCCTTAGTTCCTCTCTGTAATGATGAATCCACATGTCTCCAGGTGGTCGAGCGATCTCATCAGCATCTCAGCAGGAGGACTTTGGAAGAGGGGAAGCGGGTGGGTGGGTCAGAGGCCCAAATTCTAATTGACTGTAAAATGAAAATGAAAATTGCCGTTGACACTGGGGAAGGCACACAAATTTGAATGACCCTGCCTTGATATAGCGGGTGGCTTCCTCCCCTCCCCTATAAGCACATTCATTTCACATGCACACAATGAAGAAATCAAACAAATCCAAGCAATTGTTAGAAGGTTTACTGCTGTTGTGGTTTATATATTTTAAGCTCCTTCAACATTGCAAAATGCCTTGGTGGCTTCTTCATAGTTACAGTTCATTTTCAAGCATTTCCAGACTGGTTTTGATGGCGATTTCCTTCACTGTTCACAACCTCTGCTGCTTAACAACTGTTCTCTTATGATGTAACAAGTGGCTATGCCTGAAGCTAGAAACTGATGGTAGGGATGTGGAAAGTTCATTTGGAATTGTATTTCTTTGCTACATTTTAGGGTTCAGTAACAAATCTGGGCAATGAAAGAAAGTACTTATTCCTATAATACGGGGGTGGTTGGAGGCTCTGCCCCTGTAGTTGCATCGAACTTAAAGCAGGGAAGATGGGCCTGTGGCCCTACAGTTATTGCACTCCAATTCTCATCCGCCCCATCCAGCGTGGCCAGTGGTCAGGGATGATGGGAACTTCTGAAGAGCCACAGGTTCACCATCCCTGATATAGTGCACATTTGACTTATGAAATTGTGCTAGATCGGTTCTACAGTGGTACCTCGGGTTAAGTACTTAATTTGTTCTGGAGGTCCGTTCTTAACCTGAAACTGTTCTTAACCTGAAGCACCACTTTAGCTAATGGGGCCTCCCGCTGCCACCACGCCGCCGGAGCACGATTTCTGTTCTCATCCTGAAGCAAAGTTCTTAACTTGAAGCACTATTTCTGGGTTAGCGGAGTGTGTAACCTGAAGCATATGTAACCCGAGGTACCACTATAAGCTGCTTTTGAAAGGAATTGGACAAAGGCAAAGAGAACAGGACTCTTAACAGCTGATAGCTAAATGGAACTCCCATTAACATATGGCAAATATATAACTCAGGATAACACTTCATGCATCTCAATGCATACATAAAAGCCTTTAGGACTGTCTCCTTAGAAGAGAAGTTGCGAATCTATGGTCCTCCAGATGCAGTTGGACTGCAACTCTCAACATCCCTGATCATTGGCCATGCTAGCTGGGGCTGAAGGGAGTGATAGTCCCAACAAGGGAGCCCACCTTTTAAAAGGCTCTGGGAACAGCTGGAGGGCACCATGTTGGCTTCTCCTACTTTGGAACAAAATAAGTGAGGGACAAAAAGCGGGGTGGAGTTGTCTTGCCCAGCTTGGGAGTTTTCCAGAAGTATTTAGCTAAGCATTGCTGACAAGAGAATGCTGGTCTGGATAGACCTTTGCTCTGATCCAACATACAGTGTTCTTATGTCATTGTTGCATTTCTTTTCAGAGCAACTTTGACTCATCCCAGTCTAAATGTGAGTTCTTGCCCTGCAACCTTCTTAGACAACAATCAAAAGTCCTGAAAATATTTAGCCTTGTTGGGATGAAAGTGCATGCTGTGGGATGGAAGTGGGGAAACTTTAGATTTGCTCTATCACAAAGAATTTCAACTTTTAAATCAAATAGTAGCACTCTTGGCAATCCTGCAGTAGCAGCAGATTCTTTCTCCCCCAGTGCCTGTGGATATATATGCCTAAAAGAAACCTTAAAGAGAATGCATGGTGGGTTTTTATGCTGTAGACAATTAAATTGCAAAGCCCACTAGATCCTATTGCCCCCAAAAGCTGAAAACTTGATGCCTCAAGTCTGACAGAAGTAATTTGCAACATAAATGGAAGCTGCCTGAAGAGTCAATATGAAATGTGTTTAATGTCCCTTTGCCAGATGATTACTGGATCCAGGATAACTAACCACACTGCAGTGATTCCAGATTGCAAACATAATTGTGCAAGAGCACCTCTTGAAACGGTCTTGTTTGCAGCTTTCCTGGCCTCATTTACAAGAGTCAGGACATTAAAACTGCAGTTTGCAGAGCCGCAGCTTCTCTGGGTACAAGCTGCTGTTTCTGTGTGGAGATCTCTTCCTCAGCCGTGACAGGAGCACCTGGCTGACCTTGGGCTGTGCACAATCTGACCCTGTCGCTGCTGGTCAAGCTGAGATAAGATGGCAACCTGCCTGATGATATCTAGCATAGGGCCATCATATATATTGTCTGAGGAATGGTGTGGGGTCTGATACAACCTTGCACTGTAAGCGCCTGAACCTGAATTTGGATGACAAGTTTAGGCTTTTTTTCTAAAAGCAAATTGAAAAAATATATGCAGATGTGAATGAGCATATTTTTTTGCTCCTGGATCTGTTCAGGAGCAAATAGGCATCTTTGCAGTGGCTTCGACTAGTGTACTGGATTAGTTGAATCTGGCACCTAGTTTTGCCTTCCCAAAAGTGGGAGGCAGGTTTCTCAAAAGATGAAGGAAACAGTAAAGTAATCCTTAGATGGATCGTCATAACAAATTAATGAATGGGTCATAAATTTACAAATGCCATATAGCAAATGTTGGGGACCAGTCTCAGAAATCTCTACCACCAGAAGCAGATGGCCATATGGGACAAAGTCTCTACACTAGCTTCTTGGCAGATAGGTTACTGTTGCTTACTTGGAGGGAGAGGGGAAAGGGTTAGGTGGCAAGGAGGTTGGTGTGGTGCAAACACACTGGCAGAGCCAATCTAGTACTCCTGCTAGTGCATTTGCACCACACCAACCTTCCTGCCACCACACCCCTTTCCCTTCTCCCTCCTAGTAAGCAACACCAACCCATGCACTGGCAAGCTAGCATAGCAGCTCCACACAACCCAACAAGCTGCCTCTGACTACAGTATTGTAGGAGCTGAGTGAAGGCTGAAAAAAATGAAACCCAATTCACAGCTCATTTGCTGAACCACTTGAGGGAAGGGTCACAAGTCAGGAACAGAGCATGTGGCTTGTAAGAAAAGATCCTAGTTAAAAGTTTTTCAGGTAGCAGGGTTAGAAAAGAGGAGTGCCTTCATATATTCTCATTCCAGTACACTAACCTTTTTATTATATGGTTTGACAAGCAAAGGTGTTGGGCAGGGATGGAGAACCTATGGCCCTCCAGATGTTTTTGGATGCCAGCCAGCATGGCCAATGGTCAGAGATGCTGGGAGTTGTAGCTCAAGAACATCTGGAGGGCCTCTGAATTTAGGGGATGGTCCTGAAAGCTTTTTGGTGCTCTGTTTATGTGATGTGCCACACTACTTCATAAAACTTAGGGAAGTGCTGGGTGAGATCCCATGGACAGTAATACTAAAAGGAAAGGGAGTTCAAAGTAGATTTATTGCATTAGCCGAGTGGCCATAGCATGATATACATTGAAATAACAACATAAAATGGGGGTGGGGAGGTAGAGGTAGACATCGTCCTGGGCGAATACTTAGAGAAAGTGAAAAAAAAAAAAAAACAGAAGCTGCTGAGGCTGGAGGAGGACCGTTGAAGGGTCCTTCAGCTCCTCAGATTAGTCCTAACTCGATTGTCCTTGTACAATAAGGCTACTTGGAACTTCGTTCGGTTGTGCGGCGTATCGACTGCATCTGTGGTGTTAAGGAAGAAGTTAGTGCCGCTTTCCTCTTCATCACACTAAGCAGGAAGTTAGCTGTCATCTCAGTAATCCAACAATCAGAATCCTGCAAAAGAGGGACACTATCCAAGGCTGGATTGGGAGATGGAACTTATTCACGAGGGGAGTTAAAAACCGAGATCTTTCATCTGTCCAGTTGGGACAGAAGAGCATTACATGTTCCATAGTCTCCAGGGCCGTGTCATTACAGGAGCATGTTCTGTTTGCGATGGGAACTCTGGAATAACGACCCGACAGAACTGCTGTAGGAAAACAGTTGAGACGGGCACAGGTAAAAGCCCTTCGCTTAGTCTCCGAAGAAATTGTGAAGCAGTATAGAGGGATCCCTCAGGGGGTGGAATAGCTAGGGCTAGGCCTGAACACGGTCCTCTTGCACAAGAAGCTGTGTTGGAAAAGTCAAGTTGCTGTAGTTTCTTTTTAATTAGGGGTAGGGCCACCGGGCTGATACACTCTAAGTTAAGAACAGTTTTACAATTCAAATTGAGAAGAGAGCGGAGTTTGAGGTTAATTGTAGTTTTCCAAGGGGAATTATGAATATCTCTTAGGATCAGATTGGAAAAGCCACCTCTAATTCGAGCATCCGATGCTAATAGGTGGAGGGTGTAGGAAATGGCTCGGCTCCATGCTCGTCTAGCAGTTGAAGGCTGGGCGAACTCGAGTCGTAGGGCTGCACCTGAGACACATCTCGGGACGCCGGAAAGAGATCTCAGAAACATATGAAGTGGACGATCCAGGTTACCTGATATTGCTGTAGTCCATACTTCACATCCATATAATAATTTAGGGACGACTTTGGCATTAAATATTTGAATTGCTGCTGGAAGGTGTTTGCCGCCCTTCTGGTGGTAAAATCGGACAATGGCGTTAGAGGTCGTGGTTGCAGCGAGAAAGGCAGATTGTAGATGGGTGGTCCAGGAGAGATTATAGGTGAATATTAATCCTAGATATTTAAAGGCTTTTACCTTTTCTAAGTAGCCACCTGTGATCTTAAGCGGCTCCAACTTGAGTTTGCGGGAACGAGTGAAGTGGAGGACTTTCGATTTTTATAATTAATATTAAGAGCTTCCGCCTTACAATAGGCGATAAATGCATTAACTGCATTTGCTAGATCCGCAGCTGTTCTGGATAAGATGACGGCATCATCAGCATAGAAAAGGGAAGCAACGGGGTGGCCTGCTAAGTGAGGAGGATACTTAGATGCTAGCTTCAAAGTGGAAATTGCATCATGAAGATAAAGATTAAACAGGAAAGGGAGTTCATGGTGGCTGGGAGTTTGTTAAGAGGGAGATAGTAAAAGCACAACTTCAGGCAATACCAATGAGACAGAAACATGGAAGGTGCCTAAAGAAGCCAGGGTGGCTATCTAAAGAACTTTTAACTGAGTTAAGATTAAAAAGGATGTGTACAAAAATGGAAAAGGGGGAAACCACCAAAGAGGAATTCAAACAAATAGCCAGCACGTGTAGACACAAAGTCAGAAAAGCTAAAGCACAGAATGAACTCAGGCTTGCTAGAGAGGTTAAAAGCAACAAAAAAGGCTTTTATGGGTATGTTCGTAGCAGAAGGAAGAACAAAGAAACAGTGGGGTCACTCAGAGGAGAAGATGGTGAAATGCAAACAGGGGACACAGAAAGGGCTGAACTCCTCAATGCCTTCTTTGCCTCAGTCTTCTCCGATAAAGAAAACAATGCCCGACCTGAAGAATTTGGAGCAAATGATTCAGCAGAGAAAACACAGCCCAGAATAACTAAGGAGATAGTACAAGAATACTTGGCTAGTTTAGATGTATTCAAGTCTCCAGGGCCAGATGAACTGCATCCAAGAGTATTAAAAGAACTGGCAGATGTGATCTCAGAACCACTGGCAGTCATCTTTGAGAATTCCTGGAGAACAGGCGAAGTCCCGGCAGACTGGAGGAAGGCAAATGTTGTCCCTATTTTCAAAAAGGGGAAAAGAGAGGACCCAAATAATTACTGCCCAGTCAGTCTGACATCAATACCAGGGAAGATTCTGGAGCAGATCATTAAGCAAACAGTCTGTGAGCACCTAGAAGGGAATGCTGTGATCACCAATAGTCAGCATGGATTTCTGAAAAATAAGTCATGTCAGACTAATCTGATCTCGTTCTTTGACAGAATTACAAGCCTGGTAGATGAAGGGAACGCAGTGGATGTAGCCTACCTTGATTTCAGCAAGGCATTCGACAAGGTGCCCCATGATATTCTTGTAAAGAAGCTGGTAAAATGCGGTCTTGACTATGCTACCACTCAGTGGATTTGTAACTGGCTGACTGACCGAACCCAAAGGGTGCTCATCAATGGTTCCTCTTCATCCTGGAGAAGAGTGACTAGTGGGGTGCCACTATCTGTCTTGGGCCCAGTCTTATTTAACATCTTTATCAACGACTTGGATGATGGACTCAAGGGCATCCTGATCAAATTTGCAGATGACACCAAACTGGGAGGGGTGGCTAACACCCCAGAGGACAGGATCACACTTCACAACGACCTTGACAGATTAGAGAACTGGGCCAAAACAAACAAGATGAATTTTAACAGGGAGAAATGTAAAGTATTGCACTTGGGCAAAAAAATGAGAGGCACAAATACAAGATGGGTGACACCTGGCTTGAGAGCAGTACATGTGAAAAGGATCTAGGAGTCTTGGTTGACCACAAACTTGACATGAGCCAACAGTGTGACGCGGCAGCTAAAAAGCCAATGCAATTCTGGGCCTCATCAATAGGAGTATAGCATCTAGATCAAGGGAAGTAATAGTGCCACTGTATTCTGCTCTGGTCAGACCTCACCTGGAGTACTGTGTCCAGTTCTGGGCACCACACTTCAAGAAGGACACTGACAAACTGGAACGTGTCTAGAGGAGGGCAACCAAAATGGTCAAAGGCCTGGAAACGATGCCTTATGAGGAACGGCTAAGGGAGCTGGGCATGTTTAGCCTGGAGAAGAGGAGGTTAAGGGGTGATATGATAGCCATGTTCAAATATATAAAAGGATGTCACATAGAGGAGGGAGAAAGGTTGTTTTCTGCTGCTCCAGAGAAGCGGACACGGAGCAATGGATCCAAACTACAAGAAAGAAGATTCCACCTAAACATTAGGAAGAACTTCCTGACAGTAAGAGCTGTTTGACAGTGGAATTTGCTGCCAAGGAGTGTGGTGGAGTCTCCTTCTTTGGAGGTCTTTAAGCAGAGGCTTGACAACCATATGTCAGGAGTGCTCTGATGGTGTTTCCTGCTTGGCAGGGGGTTGGACTCGATGGCCCTTGTGGTCTCTTCCAACTCTATGATTCTATGATTCTATGATTCTACTTTAAAACTCTTCAAAACACACACAAGGAACCCCAGTGCCAGTCTTTTCTTTAAAAGACAGCGTCAGAATATGAATTCGGTTTTTCATTCTTGTTCTTATTTAATTTATTACCCACTCTTAACCCTAAGGTTCGAAGGTAGGTTAACACAATGTTACAACACAACATTAAATGGGTAGGACTACAGTGGTACCTTGGGTTAAGAACTTAATTAGTTCCAGAGGTCCGTTCTTAACCTGAAACTGTTCTTAACCTAAAGTACCACTTTAGCTAATGGGGCCTCCTGCTGCCGCTGTGCCACCACCACACGATTTCTGTTCTCATCCTGAAGCAAAGTTCTTAACCTGAGGTACTATTTCTGGGTTAGCGGAGTCTGTAACCTGAAGCGTCTGTAACCCAAGGTACCACTGTATTCCAAAACTGGGATGACATGACAATGCACATATCAGTTTTAAATACAAGTCTGCACTATCTCCTCACAGTAAATGCTAAAAACAAACAAACAAACAAACAAACAAACAAAAACACCCCACCACCAAGAGAACTGGTGCTCAGCTGTGGAGCAGGAACCAATGCCTCAGGGAAGCATGCATGATTCTTCTTAAGTCACCCCAAACATACACCCTTGATTTTTATTTACTGTTGTTTTGATCTACATTGTAGGCCCTGGAAACAGCCCTAGATTCCACAAAGAAACAACCCATTTCTTCTTACTCACAATTGCACACTCACTATAAATAGCATGTTTTCCTACTATAACACAGTTGCTTTGTTTGGTTTTGGGTTCTTTTTTTGGGTACATCCGACCTGTATTGCTGGAATCAATAAACAGTTGA